TGGTGCTGGGGGATTGAACCACGGTCCCTGTGCTTTGCTAAGCTTGTTCCAAGTAGGTGCTTTAGACCACTGAGCCATCTCACCAGCCCCGGTCCCTTCCCTTTAAAAGGTAGATAAAAGTTCTAGCTGATAGTGCAGCTAATGAATATTATATAAGCTAACCTATGTGAAATTCTTAGAACAGTGCCCATCCTCTAATAGTGAGCAAACAGAAGCTATTTGTAGACATCTTAGTTCTTTTATGGATTTTCTAGTTTTATCAATTGGTTCCTTATTTCTTACTGATGGACTCTAGCCATGTTGATGAGGAAAGCGATCAACTTCCAACCGGTGATATCAGAGTATTTTCCCCATTTGTGATCAAAAAGCTTGTTTCCAGTATTTTCCTTAAGTAGATTATGTATCAATGTAAATTGTGCCTTTAGGTTTCATGCTTAAAAAGGTCTTGTCCTTTGCACATTTATGTCAGTAATTACTTAGATTGCACTCTATTACTAAATTTATTATTTGAATGCTGGAAGTATTTTAGAACATGCAGGAGTTACATTTGCACAATGCTTTCAAAAATATACTATTTTTGTATTTGGAAAACAATCCAATACTGTAAATACTAGGGTTGGAACCACGCATCTCAGAACATTCCAATTCCATGTGCCAGTTTTCTGATTAGCAAGGGTAACAATGAACAGACTTTCATTTACATAAAAACTGAATGTTGTCATTAGTCTGCAGTTAAAAATGACTTTTCTATTGGCACCCTCATTAACATAAACTGGTAAGATTTGCTCTCTATCAGGGCCAGTAAAGCTTTTTTTCTGAAAATGGCCAGATTGTAAATGTTTTAGGCTTTTGGGCCACACAATGTCACTACTGCAGTGCCAGGGAACCATAGATAAAGGTGTATGAATGAGCATGACTAATTCTCAATCAAACTTTATTAATGGACATTGAATCATGAATTTCATGTAATTCTCATGTGTCTTCAAAATATCATTCTTCTAACTTTCCATCATTTACTGTTAGAAAAATCAAGTCTTCATTTTTTGGACTATTTGAAAATAGCCAGTTTGCCAACCCTTGCTTTATCTCAAGATACTGGTATCATTGTGTGTGTGTGTGTGTGTGTGTGTGTGTGTGTGTGTGTGTGTGTGTAGCACCACTATCTAACAGAATTTTCTTCATGGATGGAAGTGTTCTATATCTATGCTTTCCAATATGGCAGCTGCCAGCTACATACGGCTCTTAAATATTCGAAATGTAACAAGAGTGACTGAGAAACTGAGCTTTTAATTTCATTTTAATTCTAACTAACTGGAACTTAACTAGATCTGTGAGATTAATGGCTACCATGCTGGACAGTGCATGTCTATAGTTTGAACCCAAATAAAATCGTATGTATAGATACTATTATGTGTGTGTTTTTCCAGGGGAGCTGAACCTATATATTTAATATCACAAAATAATATTTACAAAAGAAAAAGTCAGTGTTTTTATTCCCACCACAGATGAGAGCACCCCACCTCTCATTTCCAAAGGCCTCTTGTCCTAACCCCCTGGGATTACTATGCAGTGAGCAGAATATTGCCTGGAGTCCCTTGAGTTTTATGCCACAAATACTCAGCGCTGCCTCCCCTTGCTATTCCTTCTTTATAGCACACGGCATCTTCTTTCTGATCTTTCCTGAATGCCCACGAAATCAAGCTAAGGATACCGGTTCTGTGCCAGACGAGCACATGCCCTGCCACTCCCCAGGCAGCCACGCTTTCCGGATAAGTGAGCACTTACTGTCAGGTCAAGCTGGCTGTTCCGGGTGGTGATGGACAGCTCGATGGTGGACAGCTGTACGTCCTTCCAGACCTCTGGACTCCCCTCCTGGGAGTGAGCTGTGGGAAGTGGGCACACACAGGTCAGTTTCTTCCCCGATACTCAGTCCCCACCACTGACGAGCTGCCAGTGGCTCAGCACGGCTTCCCAAGCCTTTTGCCAACTCCATCTTAGCTTTATTCTGTTCTTCCTTCCTATAGAGAGCGGTAAAGTGCCAGGCTAAAAATAGGATCTCTACACCTAAGCTGATGCTACTAAAAGCAGCCACATACATGCCAGCAATGAAGTGACACAGTGCCCAGAGGCTGCTGTGCCCACTCACGGGACACTATCAGGGCCTTGTTCTGGTGGCATCCAGAAGGCGGAATTCAACGACCCTAGAACAGCTTCTCTATAGGTAACCCCCAAACTGGTCCTGGGGGCTGCTGCAGCACCCCCGTACGGAGGAGGCTTTCCAGTAAGCCACGCGGATGCTGCTCACCATCCTGCGGTGGTGCCCAGTACGAGGCCAGCCTGCGGAGGATTCTCCGGTACAGAGGCGGCCGCGGCGGCGTCTCCTCTGGCTCGCTGGGAGGCCTCTCTGTAGGCCCCGTGTATGAGATGGAGGCTTGATGAGTCTGAGGCCACTCCTGTGAATGAGCAGAGAAAAACTTTTGTCATGACTCACAGTTGCCAACGCTGGGAGTTTCTCTCTGCAAAGATTAGCTTTCTACCTATTTCTGCAAGAAAGCCAATCGTCTCTCCAGGGAAGGAATTCTAATTCTGAACGCTGAATCGTCATGCTTCCTTCCTTCTATGGCTCTCTCCCGAAAGCCACGACTCCTGAGATCTCTGCCTCCCCTGCTCTAACATAAGCCAGGGTGGAGATCAAAGTGGACGGACAGCCACCATTCTCCCTTGTCGGCACAAGAGCCATCTGCATGAGGAAGGCGTCATCTGTTTCCAGAAGACCACACAACAATGCAGCTGTTGAACACCAACGGCACCAGTGCCTACCTCGCCTCTGGCTCAGCCCAGGCCCCCAATCCAAATCCAGCCCACGGCCTCTCACTTTAGCTTCTAAGCCCTCTGTTCTCACCGTACAATTTTTTTGGCATCCCAAGCCCAGCATCATCCTGAATTACATCAGTGGCCACAGGAACAAATAAAACCACGCCCTGACCTCTCAGTCCTCTGTTTCACCACAGCCACCACTTCGCTGGGCACTCTGGCCTCACCGTGATCACAACTCTTCCACGGAAGACCCTAACACCCCACTCTCTAACCTCATCCCGAGTTCTGTTTTATTCTTTGGTGCCCCGTACACGTGTTAGCATGAACTGTGCGCCCGCTGTTTCATTTCCATGGGGTGAATTCAAAAACAGCAACACTTGTGACTTCTCCCTCTTTCTGCTCATCAGGAGGACCAGGGTGTGGGCCCGGCCCCTGCTCACTCCTGCCCCCACAGCAGCCATCCTGGAGACGTCCTCACCTCCCCTTGGCTGTCAACTTACAATGGCGGTTGGTGCCCCAACTGGCCCATTTTTTGGTGGATACATTCAATCTGGAGTATTAGGAAATCAGACTGCAATCACGTATTTAGATGGTGCCCTTCACTCCTGCTGACATTTAAAAAGCTGACATTTTCATCTCCATCTGTTTGACTCATGCATGTTTTCATAACTTGGTTCAGATTCAGAAGAAGAAGAGAGGGTGTTATTTTTTGGTCCCTGAAGATCCTCGCCACACAGCTCCCTAATCACAGTGACAATTTCTGCTAACATTCCATTTTCCCTTAGTGGCCAATTAACAGTTACTTCAAATTACTGTTTCCCTATTGCTTTTGGCCCCTTTGTGTCTTTATTTATTCTTCTACAACCTGTATCCTCCCCCAATCTGGAGCCAGGCACGGTGGCACACACCTGTGAGGTCCCGAGCTCCTCCGGCAATGAGGAAAGCGAGTCCCTCTCGGGAAGGACAATGACGGGCTCCTCCAGGAGAACCAGCAGCGCCCCACAGCTCTACCGCCTCCCCGACAGCTTCCCACAGCCTCACCTCTTCTTTTCCTGTGCTTTTTATTTTGTTGGCAACGATCCTCAGGTGGCCTCCCACACCTAGCCCCGTGCTGGTTCAATTCAGCTGGTATTGCAAGTTGCCCACCAGCTGGCATCCACCACACTCTCACCATCAATACTGCCGCTGCCCACCTCTGTCCTTGTCACTGGATCACTCTAACAATCCTTTATTGGTTGTCCCTTCCTGTACAGTCCACATGCTACCTCGGCGTCAATGCTGCCAAATGATATTTCCAAACTGCACATCTGACACGTCACGCTTCTGCTTGAGACCCAGAAGCTCCCCACTGCCTTAAGGATCAAAGTCAGAGCACATCAGAGCTGCCCGAACGTGAGGCTCCAGCTTCATTTCCTGCCACGATATCTTTCAGCTGCCACTAACGACCATGGTCCACGGTCCACAACTGTAACTTCACAAGAAGTCTCCCAACCCGAAGTGCCTTTTCGCTAGTCTTCTATATTTCCAAATTTAGCCTCCATGTCAGCTTCCCTGGGAAGGCTTTTGGACCCTTAGTTGGATTTAGGTAGCCACCAAACAGCTGGCTTTCTTGTACTTTTTACACACGCATGCTCCTGAGGACAGACAATCTGTTATCTGGCTCTGTATCCCAGACACTGACCAGTACCTCACCGCTTGCTAATACATTGTGAAGAGTTGAGCTGCTGGTACTCCACTATAAAATACATGGCTACTCTGGCTTACTCACTACTCCCAAGAAAATTATTCCCTTTGAATGCTAACGTATTTTACTAATCCAGTTTGCCTCTGGTGTGGAAAATTTTTTGCTTTTTCAAGTTCATTTTTAAAATCATGTAGATTTACTTCTAGTACTTTAGGAATTGTAATTTTTAAATTATTATTAATATTTTTCGACCAAGGATTGAACTTAGGACCTTGTGCTTGCCAGGCAGGTGTTTTTGTGGCTGAGCTATGTCCCTGGCCCTACATTTAATTTTTTAATCCTTTTTTTGGTAAAAACAAAAAAAAAAACTTTTTTTTTTTTTTTTTTTTTTTTTTTTTTGGAACCAGGGATTGAACTTAGGCCCTTGCACTTGCCAGGCAAGCACTTATTCTACTGAGCTATCTCCCCGGCCCTAACTTTTTAATCCAACTGAAATTTTTTAATCCCACTCGCTTTCAATCTTTTACTTTAATTATTATAATTAAACTGTTTATGAAAGATATGTTTTCTGAATGTTTTCCAATGGACATTGTAATTAGAAGAATACCTGATAACTTAGAATATTAACACAGACCAAGTTTCCCAACCAATTTTCAGATTTGCCAGCTCAAGTATGACTCTACGGCTTTGATCTGAGCAACAGCTAAACATGGTATAGTCCACAGCTAATGACGACTTTTCTCATAGCATTTCCAATAATATAAATTGCTAAGCTTCTATCCATGCCAAACCCTTTACTGTTTTGACTTCACTCCCAATTCCAGGGTGGGGAGCAAATGGAAGGCTTTATATATGTCAGGCAAGCACTCTACTACTGAGAAATATCCTCAGTTCATAATTTTTTTTTTTTTTTGTGTGTGTGGCTCTGGGAGACTAAAACCAGGATCATTCTATCACTTAGCTATAGCCCCAGCCCTTTCAGTTTTTATTTTGAGATAGGATCTTGCTAAGTTACCCAGCCTCGCCTCAAATTTATAATCCTCCTGCCTTAACCTCCTGAGTAGCTGGGATTACAAGTATGTGTCACCAAATCCAGGTCCTGAACATTGATTTTATTATAATTATTATTATTATTTTAAATCTATTTTATTTGGTACAGGGTCTCATTACACAGCTCAGACTCATAGTAATCTTCCTGTCTCAGCCTCTTCAGGCTGGGATTATAGGTGTGCACCACCATGCCCAGTTTTGGTGGCCGACATGGTGTACTCTGGATTCTGGTTCAGCACAGCATGCAGTACCAGGGAATCAAACCCAAGTCCTTCCACTTGCCAAGCAGGCACTTAGACC